GAAACGCAGTAACAGCGTGTACTGTACACAGCTTCTGCATCTGAACCGGTTTTGTGTTTGAGCTTGAGCTGATTTCAGGGGAGTACGACGGACCCTCTGTGTGTTTCACTAGCATACATAAACCACCCTCACCGCAGTCGAGACTCTCTCTCTCTTTGTTATGGTTCAAGCCTCCGTTTGCTCTATTCTCTGAGGATTATCAGAACAAAACTGAATTGAGCGCAGCTCAGCAGAATAATAAGGCATTCAGCTGGCCGGCCTGACACTTGGCGTGTAATTAAGGGCCTGGTGCTGCCGTTTGATGCCAAATGAAAGAAAATGGCCTCGCTCTCTCCCTCTGATTGCTGCCTGGCATCTTTCACCTGAATTTCCCGGCCATCCCGGCATTGTGCAGCTGATTGCGAGCGTGTGGGTAATTGCACTGCGAGTGAATGACGGCTCCCGTGGACTGCGTGGCAACTGCTCAGGAAAAAGTACCGCAGTACACACAGGTGTCATGGTGTGCGACTTTTACAGTCAAAATAAGATTGACTTTAAGAGAATCAACACTGAGGTGGCTGATTATATATGCTGTTTATGAACAATTTGCAAGAAATGTGATCCAGTGGAAATGTGCAAGAGTTTAAAGCATCATTGGCTCACATTTGCCATTCTGGGGTGCGTTTCTCAAAAGCATTGTTAGACATCTATGGTCGTGAGCTCTGTCGTTACCAACAGAGTTCAACGATTCAGTGTTCTCCATAGGGAAGTTGATTTTTAATGATAACTTATAGACCCCTAAAGACAGACCTACTGTGAGCTCTGAGGTTGTTAATCGATGGTATATGCTTTTGTTGAAGCCATCTGTTTATGCTATTTCAACTTTTTTTTTAATAATCATGTTTAAATGCAGAATCCCTGGTGAAAAACTGCATTACCCATGATGCTGTACAGAAAATCCAACCAATCAGCGAGTCATGGTGAGCAAATTACACAAATGACATAATCGAGTAACCATTGAATGAAATTTGAAAGTAGAAAGACTGAAATAGTATTTTCTTGTAAAACATACTGAAACTTCAAAAAATCTTTTTACAGGGTATTTAGGTAAAAGCTAAGCATAACTACAAATGATTATTTAATCTTTATACACCGTAGAATGTGGTGCAATCGGTACCTTAAATAGCCATTTTTGCCAGATTCAAACCATAAAAATGTATCATGTTGGTATAGATTAATGTATTTAGGTTGATTCAGTGATGCTAAATACTATTTTTGATTATAAAACCAGGTAATTTAAATGTTTACTTATTTTTTTCAGTGTAAAATTTCCATTATATTTTTATAATTTCAGTAATTTCCTTGACTTTTCCAGGTCTGGAAATCATCATTTTAAAATTCTCTGAACTTTCCAGGTTTTATGACTGTGGGAATCCTATTTAAAGCAATGTTTTAGGCCTTTAGAAGAAACTCAAACCTAGATTGTGCGATGCGTTCCAGCAAAGGGATTCCCAAAGTATTATTCGAAAACAGCTTCTAATTAAGACAATCTCTACACAGCCTGTTCACACGGTATGATTTAGACAGACAATGCTTCCTCACATCCTCACATGAAAGAAACTCAGATGTCTTCACAAATAAGACCCCTCAAATGCTGTTTCATTAAACACTTTACTCCCGGATAAAATGTGTGCTTTCTCTGTGTGCTTATTATTGTGTGTTGGTGTGTGTGTGTGTGATTTCATTGGGTTGTGATCAACATGTTCAGTTAAGTACAGGTCAGACAGCCTACATAAGACATATACACAAAATAATCAGAGAAATCACCTCAGTCATGGTATTGAAGGTGGGAGAGAGAGCTGTACATTCACTCCCCCCACCCCTGCCGGTACGAGACTCAAACCCGCAACCTTTGGGTGACAAGTCCAACTCTCTAACCATTAGGCGACATCTTCCCTGTAAATTCAGTCATGTATTTCAAGATGTTTCTCTTAATATTCCAATACTTCACTTATTGGACTGAAGAAACTTAGGTTTACTTGATTATCCATGAAAATGTGAGCACACAAAGAAGTGCACTTCAAATATGCACTTATTTAACTGAAAAAAAAAAAAGCGAAATGTTGGACACTTCACACACTTAACAGTCGTAATATAATCTTTTAATACACAGGGCATAGTTGAGTGCATACTGTAGAGCATGTCATTTTGGACTCACATTTGGGTTTTTCAACAAAAATTCTGCCATTTACCCTCATGTCATTTCAACCTGAATGGCAAAGTTAGGCAGATATCCTGATTTTTCTGTTTATTTTCCTTGTCAAAGGTGACCATGGATGGCAAGCTCTGAACAAGCAGCATACAAGTATCAGCTCAGTATGTTTCAGGTCTTCTGAAGCAATATGATAAGTCTGAAGACTGCAGCTTATTGACTGATAATCGGTCACTTGACTCCTCTGCAATGCTAAGCTTGTTTTGTCTTATAGTATGGCAAGCCGTTTTGACTTTTATTCCTTCACGGGATATGAATTCTTGATATCAACAATTCAATTTTCACTAGTTAAAATGCTAATTCTTCATATCAGGAATTACATTTCAACTAGTAAAAACTATAATTCTTGATATCTGTAATTTTATTTTCACTAGTTAAATGTCACCATAGGCTGCCATTCAAAATCAATTGTTGATATCAAGAATTTATTTCTTACTAGTTGAAATTCCAATTTCACATATCAGAAATACAATTCTTACTAGTAAAAACCTTTATTTTTTATATCAGTAATCACATGGTTACTAGTACAGATGTCTATTCTTGATATCAACAATTTAATTCTTGATATCAACAATTTAATTGTCACTAATGACAATGTTCATTTCTGATATCTGAACATGTATTTCTGATATCAACAAATTTCTGATACCTAAAATTACTTTTGTTACTAGTAACAATCACATTCATGATATCAGAAATGAACATTGTCACTAGTGACAATTAAATTGTTGATATCAAGAATTAAATTGTTGATATCAAGAATAGTTACTAGTGGAAATGTAATTGATGATATCAAAAATAGCAATTGTTACTAGCAGAAATCTAATTCCTGATATCAAGAATTAACATTGTTACTAGTGGAAATGTAATTGCTGATATAAAAAATAGCAATTGTTACTAGTAGAAATCTAATTCCTGATATCAAGAATTAAATTGTTGATATCAAGAATTCATATCCCGTGAAGGAATAAAAGTCAAAACGGCTTGCCATACTTACAGTAATCATGTTTCCCACCCATTTCTGTTGGTGGTCTGCTGTGAAGTCTTCATGGAAAGATATTATCTTTGTTGTCATAAAGTGACCATGTTTTATACCGTGGTTTTCATCACGGATTATTTTCTTCATTAAGACTAAGAGGTTTGTGATTAAGAGGACACTGCAGGTTTCTTTGATCGACACTAGTATTGCAATTCTGTTTCTTTACCTTTTTAGATTTATTTCAATTCAAAGACATTAATTTTACTGTTTTGATCGCTTATGATGGATATTAGCCTGATTCTGAATCTGATGGTTTTCTAGTTTTTTTTTTGTTGTTTTTTTTATGAAATTCTGCATTCCACAAGTCTCAATTAGATATTTTCCCATTAGCCAAATTCTTGATTAGTTAGTGGACTCCACACCTCACTGGAATAAATTACATTTGGCTCATTAACTCATTCTAATATGTGCATTCAAATTCTATTTGGAATTCGTAAAGACATTTTCTTTTTAGCTTAGAAATTGTGCTCTCAGATCACTGAGGCTGTCTTTGCAATTGATTATAAGGCCAAAATGATTGTATCATGATGAATATGTAGTATGATTGCTTATTAATATGAATGTTTTTTTAATGTTTGTTTATTTTATTTTTAATATGACATTATTTATCATTCATTCATTCATTCATTTCTTCGTTATATTACAAAATTTTACAAGACAAAAGTATGTTTTTTTTAAAGAAGACTTTTTTTTTTTAAGAAAATTGATACTTTTATTCAGTAAGGATGCATTCAATAGATCAAAAGTGAAAGTAAAGGCTTTTTTCAATCAAGAGCATAATTTTTTCGGTGTGTGTTTTTAGAGGGCTTTGACAGAGGAGCACTGGCAGAGAGCCCTGCAGCTCTGATATTAAGCGTGCTATCAGGCTCCTGGAGAGGCCCTTCATTGTCACACCAAACTCCACTGCAGCACCACTAACACATCATTTGTTAGCGCCCGCTTCACTGGTTTTAATTAGTGTCTCTGAATGCAGCCGCACAACAGAGGCTCGAAAAATCAAACGCCACTGCTCCAAATTTGTTTGTATCTGCTCCAGTTTCACCACACAAGTTCCTCTCTTCACACAGCCAAACACACAAGAGTTCCTCATCTTCCCTCAAAATATTTCCTCTGTCAATATCATACTGTCTGCTTCACAACCTGGCAAACGACGTGTTTTGTAGCAAACACAATGAAGAAGTTATATTTAATGTGCCTAACCCTGCTGGTATGAAAAATTTAACGTAAGACAGCAGTCGCGTGTGAAGTAATGAGATCTCATTACCTCATGTGGTCTATAATTACTTCCATTTATGCTGTGAACAAAAATATGAATCATATGGAAAATCTTTCTTTTTTTAGTGGTTATTTCTTTAAATAAATCCTATTACAAACTGTAAACGATCCTGATTGGAAAAGCAGCATGAATGTGAAATAAAAGCAGTTCCTCCCTCTCAATTGCGGTTTATTTCTCTTTGAAGCAGAGCTGGCAAAGGCAGAATTAACTGAATCTTATTCTATATGAAGTGGGGATGAGAATGAGCTAAAGAAAAGTCAAAATTTACCATTGATTCTTTTAATTTATTTATGGTAACTTGAAGCTTAGAGTAAGAAATGTGTGTGGGGAAGATATTAAAACTGCTACGCCGCTGCATGCTTCCCAGTGTAAATGTGATTTGCATGCTCATTTATGCCTATAATTACAAGTTTCTATCTTTTTTCATGTTTCAGAAAATGAAATTGGAGGAGGTGTAGTGACCTCTTATCAGTCGTCTAACATAGAGGGCCGCAGGGCAAACAGAGGTCTGAACCAAAGAGCGATTAAATCGGTAATTACATCAGGTACCACTTCACGCTATCTGTCTTTCTTTCTGTCTTCACAGTACTTGATCTCATAGAATGTATAAACACAATCAAGTGTGTATTTCTGCTATGAGCAGACTTGAACACACCCCTCATCTGCCATTGGTTGGGCAAACAGATAGTCCCGCCTTACACTCACACCATTGGTTGAGTCAATGTTGCTTATTTTGAGCTGATCTAGATATAAACAAATCAATATTTTGAAATTAATGTTTTGTGCTACAGCACCATTATGTTGCATGTTTCAGGAAGACAACTTACCAATGACTTATTTTACACATCAAGCTATCCACTTTATTTTTAAGCCATTTGTAACTTGAATATGTAAGGCTTCCAGTGTCATTCGATTCCAGTTATTTTACTTTACTTTACTAGTTATTTTACAAAAATAGTCTGTTCTGCTTCTTGATGTTGCAGACTGATATTATTATCATATTATTCAAATTTATTGTCATAATCATAAATGCTCCGGTTTTTAGTGCAAATAGTTTTACTACCCTTTGTTATTCATAGTTATTTATCTATAGCCACTAATGAATCGGAAGTTTCGCACATTCACTGAAAATACTGATGCAAAATTGTGGACATGAATATCTCACTTTAAAGGAACAGTTCACACAAAAATGAAAATATGCTAGAAACGTCTTCACCCTCAGGCAATCCAAGATGTAGATGAGTTTGTTTCTTCGTCAGATTTGGAGAACTGTAGCATTGAATCACTTGCTCACCAATGGATGCTCTGCAGTGAATGGGTGCCGTCAGAATGAGAGTCCAGACAGCTGATAAAAAAACATCACAATAATCCACAAGGAATCCACACCACTCCAGTCCATCAGTTAACGTATTGTGAAGCCAAAAGCTGCGTGTTCAAAAGCTATAATTTTACTTTCAAAGGAATTCATAATCCATAATAACACCTTCTCCAGTTAAAAAGTTGTCTCATCTGAATTAAGAGAGAAATCTGCACAGATAAAGCACAGTTTACAAGCCAAAACAGTCCAAAACAGCTCTAAACAAATATGTGGGTGGATTTTGATGTGAGAGGACAACAGGAGATGGACTATTTTTTACTGTGTTATTATGGATTATGGGCATGTATTTTGCCCAGAAGTGATGTTAAAAGGCCTTAATGATGGATTTGTTTATTACAAACATGTAGTTTTTCAGGTTACAAGATGTTAACTGATGGACTGGAGTGGTGTGGATTACTTGTGGATTATCGTGATGTTTTTATCAGCTGTTTGGATTCTGACGGCACCCGTTCACTGCAGAGCATCCACTGCTGAGCAAGTGAAGTAATGACACATTTCTCCAAATCTGATGAACAAACAAACTAATCTGTAAATTCTCATTTTTGGGTGAACTATCCCTTTAAGTATTTTGACAAAAACACACTCTACTGTCATTAATATATGGGCTTACATTACAAATAAAAGTTTTTATTAAAACGTTGATTGTATTTGTTGCTCTCCGCAGATGGAGGTGGATGTAGCAGATGAGAAGCGCCATTGCACACGCTCAAAAGGTATTCTCCTTTCCATCACTTACACATAACACACAGATGTAATGTGGCGATATGGTCAGACCGGCCTTTTGTTTGAGTGATAATCTAATCTTCTTCTGCCCTTTCAACTGACCTCTCACGTCCTCTGTCTTCTGTCTCTCTCTATGCTTCTTCACAGTTCCCCTGGAGCCAGCCATACATGAGTTGTTCAGGTCAGTGTTTTTACAGACTGAATCACACACACAAACACACACACACACACACACACACACACACAGACACACAGACAGACTCGAGCCCACAGGCTGGCAAAGAGGTCTTTACCTGGATAATGGCTGCCAATAAGCAGTGTTGTGATCACGCTTTCCTGTTCTCCTATTTTCTTTCCATCTGTCATATCCGTTTGGGTGATGATAAAATAGTGTCACTTTGCTAAGCTGCAACTATTTCTCCGTACAATGACATATGGCCAGTTTCTTTCAGAGCCAAGTAATACAACAATTTTCAATACACACACTTTTCCAAACTTGAATGTTGTTCTAGACTGATGTGACACTCTACAGCATTTTCTCAAAATTGTGTGAGATCTTTACACCACTGGTTAGCATAAATTAACATGAATAAATATATTGGGTGCATATTGCCTACTATTATTTGTTTATAGAGCTGGAAAGGCTGGAATTTGGCAGCATATTTTTGCATTAAATCATGGATGCATCTTCTTTGTAGGATCAGAACTTCTCCACTCACTCGGCATCCTAAAAACAATACGGCTCAACCTCAGTATTTGGATCAGGACATGATTGCAAACATGCTTTCAACATGTCTCGAGTGATTTTGTTTTTTAGCCAGTTCATTTGTTCCAGTTATCATAGTTCAAAGAGAGTAGAGTATTGGTGATATCAACACTAGGGTGATAGGTTTGATTCCCAGGGAATGCATAAACTGATAGAATTGAAGGAAGTGTGAGTTGCTTTAGATGAAAGACTCTGCCAAATGCATCAATGTAAAATTAGTAAACATAATTAGACAAGTATGCATACACGGATCACATACACCATTCTTTTTATTTAAAATGCATTTCCATGTTGATCAAAATTGAAAATAATGGTTTCCATTTTAAACCAGTTTTGTTCAGATTGTCTAAAAGCAAACAGCAC